CCGTTTCCTCACGAAAAATTATTATTACACGGGACGGGGTGGAAAATCGATCGATCGATCGATCGGTGATCGACGATAAATAAACACGAGGAAGAAAATTCCGCGAGACGAGAAATTAAGATAAGGGAATATCTGGAGATTACACCCTCTTTTCTCTTCTTTTCTTCCGTTCCGGTTTTCACGAGACGAGGCCGTTTCCTCTTCACTCGCAATAATAATATCAGGAATATCAGGGGAGAGGCGGTTTTGACAAGCGATCTTCGTAATTAACGAAATTTCCACGACGTTAAAGGCGAGGGTAAATTTAAACAAGTAGTAGTTGCTCGTAACAAAAAGCGCTAAGCCCTAGAATTAATGGCAAAGGGGAAGAGTTTCGAAAGTTTTGCGCGGAATTTGAACGAGCCAAGGGATGAAATTTTTTTTTTTTTTTTCCTTTTTTCTTTTTTTTTTTTTTCCTCCCCAAACGTCCTTTTCGCGATCCGCGTACAACCGCGTACGCGTTTAATTGTCTCGTTAGAGAATGTAGTATTAAAGGCAACCGTTTCCTTTTTCTCTCTCTGTCTCTCTTCCCCCATGGTCGACATCGATGCTCTCCCGTTGCAAATTTTCTCCATACCGGATACTGAATTATTTGAAAAGGAAATGCCGGAAAAACTTTTGACCAACCGTGAAACGAAACATGTAAAAGAAAAAAAAAGGAAGGAAAGAAAGAAAGGAAGGAAGGAAGGAAGGAAGAAAGACGGGGCGCGAATTGGAAAAAAAAGACGAGAGACAACGAAAAACTTTTCTCGCGTAACGCGTTTGAAAAATCCGTGGCCGGCCGTAATTCCAACTCGACGCTAGGAAAATCCTGGTTTGGAAAATGGGGGTTGGAATACGTGTCATACGATGCCACGCGTAAGATTCTCTGTAACGACGAATTTTGCTCGTTTTTAAATATTCTTCGCGCGCGATATTTTTCCTCTCAAGATATATGTATATATATATATATTTATTTATTTATTTACAGGAGAGGAGGAGAGAGATATCAGCCACGACGAAAGAAAAGGAAATTATACGCGGACGTTGTTCATCTCCAACAATTTTCCGCGCTTCATTCGTTTTGAAAAAATAGAGATATAAATAAATTACGTTTAAATCCTTTTGTTCGTTCGATGTTTTGGATTAATCCCGTCAAAAGGGAGAAAATATGTATTTTTAACCGGACCTACTATCCACCGGCTTTTAAAAGTTTCGGCCTTTTATCATCAAGAGATATCGCGTTTTTGCGAAACGATTCCTTTCCCAACAATTTATTTATCCAATCCGAGATTTTAAACGAATCGTTGCATTCGTTTAAACGGGCGAGCCAAAGTTTTTCTGGATAAAACCAAAATTAATTTACCATACCGTATTTTTGTCCACGCATAAAGCGATTCTACGCGTTTTTCGACGCATTCACCTCCCCCCCTCTTCCCTCTCCCTCTGTCTATATCGCTGTACCGCACCAAAGCTGATCGACAAAAAAGAGTCCGAGTCCAAGCAAGCCAAGATTCTCAATTTTCCGCGCAATTTATTCCATATTTCGTGAAACCCGGTACACAGATATCGTAAAACATTCGTATAAAAAACCTCCTCCTCCTCCTCCTCCTCCTCCTCTTCGTCCTGTCTTTCCACCAACGATAGCGGATCGGTGCATTTTCACTCCGTAACAATCCGACAACCGCAAGAAAGTCTCGAGATTTTTGTCCATTAGATCGGGCTCCCGATCTCGCCAACCGCTACACGTACACGTACACGGCTCGAATCGCTTTGTCCAACCTTCCAGCTCTTCTGGCTCCTCGCTTGGAACTTGGGTTAAAGTAAGCGCACCGAGGACGGAGAATGAATATTTCGAGATAATGCGAGCGTTAGTGACGAGCGTTTTGCCTCGTCGAAGGGCAAAAAAACGAAGCGAAGGGAGGGGAGTAATTGCATCAGCGATGGAGAGATGGCGATCAATGGTGGAGAGAGAGAGAAAGAGAGATAGAGGGCGCTGGTAAAAATGATGGCGCGAGCGTCGCATAGGGATCCAGAAAGTAAGTGTACAGGCGTAGCGAGCGGCGTTAACGAGTAGCATCGCTCAGCCGGAGCTTAAACCCTCGTTAGGAAGCTAACAACCGGCTATACGTCTTGTAAATCGGTTGCCCGGACCGAGCGTCGAAGCCGAACGTTGCACGATATACCGATCTGCCAATTTATGCGGTCGTCGAATGCTACGGCCGCCGGTCCAACCAACGATCCACCAACTTTCTAGAGTATAGATACAGTTGGCGGCGGTTCTGATCACAATCCCTTCCCCCGCGTTTCTTTCGCGCTACGATTGGTCGTTTCGATCGTTTCGAAGTTCGGTTTCCCGACTGTCGTATAGTGACCAAGTCAATGAAAATTTTTGAGAAATAAAGGAAGGGAACGATCGGTCGTTGCTCGATTTTCAATTATCCGTTGGCTCCGTTTACGATTTAAACGATGCTTCCCCCCTCTCTTCCCCTGACTGTTATGGGAGGTTGTTCTCTGGAGAATCGATCGCTGACCGGTTGGTCCTCTCCGCTCGTTGGGGACGAATCGAGTTTGGATTACGGTTTCGACGACAATCCACGTCCTCCTCCATTCGTACTCGTACTCGTACTCGTGCGAAAGCATCGACGTACGAGAGCGCGCGTTCCCGATAACGGCCGTGAGACGACGACAAGTCTCGTAATCTCATTTATCGTGGACACTTTTCGAAAGACGGAAGGGGGGATAGAGAGAGGAGAAGAACGACGGGAAGAGTCAAAGATCGTCTCCCTTTTAGCTTGCATTTTCGATATATATATATATATATATATATATTTCACGGACGTCTTTATGCGTTCTGCGTAGGCGAGCTATCGCTATACGCCAACTCGATCGTGATCAGATTCGCGAAGGAGACGTGTCTCGTTCCACTCTCGTTACCTTTCTTATCCTTCCATAAAATCTTGCCGATCTTTTTCAATCTTCTATCTTCGATGCATCGATACGAATCCCGCTCGAAACGATAAGTTGAGAGTTTTAACCTCTTAAGAAATACTTTTTTCGTCGCGATAAAGGAGACACATTCTCGATCCGTTCCTAAGTTGAAAGTTAAACAGAGGGTAATCGATCGTTTGTTTTTTTTAAGGAGAAATGCAACGTTTTATTGTTTATTTGGCGTTACGTGGCTGGTCGGAAGGATCGAAGGTTCGCGTGACACGGAATAACGGGTAATTAAAAAAATTTCGTTGGCCAGAGTTTAGATCGTGCTTACTTGGCACGCAATTTGCAAACGGCGTTGCATTATCACGATTGTGATTTTTCACACAGCGCAAAAATGCATTCGGTTCGTGCCAACGGCTTGCTTTGTTTCTCCCTGCTTCGAAATCACGCTAACCTGAAATTTTTTAACGGTTATATTCGACGTTCCACCGTTTGATCAAACTTTCTCTCGTATTAAAGAGGAATAACGCTTTTAACGTCTCTCTCTTAATCCATCCGTCGCTTCGAGAAAGAATATCCTCCCGTCGGAAATATCGTCGCTCGCGATGAAAATGCATTTATTGTTTTAACCGATAAAAATACCGCAAAGAGAGGGAAGGAGAGGGGGAATTAGAACACGAGGACTGCTATATTTCTCGAAGGAACGAGTTCGGCTTGTTGGAACGTATCCACCACGGAACCGTGCCACCAGAAATTACATTATCGGATTGTATGTGGTCGTCGGTTGTCGACCGAGATAACAGTAATTTCATCTTTAAATATTTTTTCAAGATTAATTCCTTTGTACTTTGAAATTTATATGGAATCCACATCCGTTCCCTCGTTTCATTTTCATAGATCGAAATATTAGAGAGTGAAAACGAGTTGGAAAACGGAATGGTCGAAACGTGGTTTTCATCTTTCGATTTTTTTCTTTCTTTCTTTTTCTTTTTTTTTCTGTTTTTTTCCCTCAGACTATTCGTTTTTTCCTAGATACGTATCCGTCGATAAGGATGCAGTTTAAGAGGGATATCGATCGAGTCGAAGTCAAAGTGCACAACAACTGGCCGCGTTAACCGATGGGTTTGGGGAGAGGCGAACGAAGCCTCTCTCCGCGCAACTCGAACTCTGTTAATTAAATACATGCAGGCCACGGCCAGGCTGGCCGTCGTATCGGAGGCCAACGAGCCGTGCTCTAAGAATAAGAAGTGGCCGAGGAAAAGCGTCGTTTGTCGTTAATGACTCTCGTTATCGCATTTCCACCAGACTTTTTCATTATCACCGTTAAACCTTGTCGCGTAATATCGCCGTCTCGATTAACGAATCGAGTTTTTGCGTTTTCGCGCTGTTTTAAGTTAGAAGAAGAGTTAACGAGGAAACGCGTGTTACGAATGAAATTGGACGTGAAATATATTCCTTCCTCGTCCATTTCTTTTAAGAGAATTTTTCTTTTTTTTCTTTTTTTTTTTTTCTTTCAAATAGAGAAAAGTAGAAAAGAAAAGTAAATACTTTTAGTAGATGAAATTTAATCGATCGAAGAGACGATAAAAAATACGATTTTAAAATGTACATTAATGCAAGCTCGACCAATGACGCGATTTAACGCAAAATTACTCGTTAAAGATTAATTAAAGATCGATTCGAAATTCGATCCAGAATTTTCCATCCTTTATGGAAAGTTACACGATTCTTTCGCAACGACTCGTCCGTTTCGTGTACACAAATATACGTATATTCACGGATATTTTCGCTTGTATTTTTTTTCTCCCCTTCCTCCTCTCCCCCCCCCCCCTCTGATATTCGTCGGATACGCATTCGTGGAAATCGTAAATTAAATAGAAACGCGATTATATCTATCCATCGTCCAATTTCCCATAGTGATCCCATAGATTTAGAAAAGAGCACGCGTGAGTTTAACACGAGCGGAACACGAGCTCGAACGATATTTTTCACAAATTCGCAGTCCGCTTAATTCCGTAGTTTTTCAGCTAACCTCCTCCACCGCGCTCCCCCTCCCTCTCTTCCCCACTTCCCCCTCCCTGCCGCGCGAAACGTGGCGCGCACTAGAATCAAACGTGAGAACTTCGGCCTACCTCTCCAATCTATGTTACAACGTCGCGTTGTTTTCACCTGTTTCTCCTCACTTGTTTAAAGAAACAAGACGTAATGTAATGTATCGTTGGAGACGATAGAAGCGCTCTGAAGGATTTCCGCGTGTAATTATATAAAAATATATTCGCGACTGAGTGAATGGAATATATTTTTTTCTTTTTCAACAAGTTTTTTTTTAGAATCGATCGTTTACGAACGCTCGTAACGTCGATAATACCCATATCCCCGCGGATACGATCGAGATAAACACTCGAAACGCAATTTTTAAACCGTACAAAACGTCGATTGTCATCTACACTCGTCGAAACTTGGTTGAACGCAGACTCCTCTCCTCGGCGGAGGGAACTCGATTACAATTTCTACGCGAAGCGAACCCATAGTTTACGCATTTCGTTTCTCTCTCTCTTCTTTTTTTTTTCCTTTTTTTTTTTCGATTCTCCCGAAAATTCGCGAATCACTTTCATTTTGACCGGTGTAACGATAAATCCGACAATGTAACCGCAATCGTACGAGCCGTGGAAAAATTTTGTCCAGTTTCGATCGCTTATCAGTCTCCCCTCCCTTCCTCCTCCTCCTCCTCGCGCGTGATTGACTGTATCGATATATATATATCCTTCGTCAGCGAATATACCAAGTTACCTGTCAGTTCGTCGATGGATTACTTTTCTTTCCTTTTTTTTACCTTTTTTACCTTTCTTTTTTTGTAATTAGCAAGCGTTCGATCGATTTCATCCCTGATCCAACGACTCGATTCGAGCCGAATTTCGATTCGTTGAAAAGATATTTCGATTGGACGGCGCGATGCGGTTTCAACGATCGAAAGGACCAAGTTGAGATCCTTCGATTCGTTCGATTTTTTTTACGGAACGCCATTACCAGGGTTAAGCGAGACGTTTCCTCCCTCTAACGCTAATTAACAAGCGTAAGGTTGAACGAGGGAGTCGCGTGTTTACGCGGCAAGGCGGCGCGCATAATGCTCGAAGCGTGAACAGTGTTCTTGCAAAGTGTCGCGAGAGTTTTCAATGGCTTTCTCGCACCCGACGGCGCGCCCTCCCCCTCCTCCAATTAACCACCCACCGGTTAACGGCGGCTCAATTCGTTTTCACGTGTCTCGCTGACCGCCTTTAAATAAAAAAGAAAACGCTTCTTCCCTCCTTTTTTTTTTCTCTTTTTGCTAGCTTTCGAGAAAAAAAGTCGTCTCGCTTTCTTTTTTCTTTTTTCTCGAACTCGACTGCCTTTGGCTTTTCACGCGCAGATATAGATAGTTGCGTCGAGAGTCGCGAAAGTTTTTCGTTATTCGACCATTTCTTCGAAAATTTCCATTCGCTACGGGGAGGGCATAGTTTCCAAGGATGCGATCTACCGGATTCGTTTCCCTTCTGTGTGTCGTCACACCACAACCGGCTCAATTCCCTACATGATTCTCCGTATATTCGAATCTTTCGTATGTGGATACATAGCGTAGGTCATTCCTAATACATATATGATACCATCCGATATTGGAAAAATGTGAAATTTTGCGGATAGACCGCACCGAATTTGTAAGATTTTTCGATATTTTCGTTAACGAAGGGAAGGGAAGGGCTTTTTCGTTGGAAAATAAAAAAAAAAAGAAAGCGAGCTCAATCGATCGATCCTCGATTCGATATTCTTCCCGTACGAGATGGGCAAACTAGAAAGAATCGTTGCTTCGAAAATTTGAAATTCGCGCCCGTATATTCGCCAGGATCGTTGAAGAAAAATAGGCAAGCTTAATCTTAGCCTAGAAACGAATTAAAGGGGAAGGAATAAGCAACGAAACGATTGGAAATCGCCGCGTTAAAATAGATTTCACGCGCGGTGGAACGCGAAAGTGAAAGAGTGGGGGACGCGTGAAACCGTTGAAACATAGGTTAAAAAGAAAAGAATGCGCGCGCACGAGTGGAGATTAGAGAGCGCGTACATGTGTATATCATTTGTACAAGAACGAGCGAGAAACTTGGCTACGACGCGACACCGGTCACGATAGTCGGTGACGAAAAATTGGACGAGGCCAAACAATGCGCGTACGAATAAAAACTTGATTTCTCGAATAATGGTGTGTATAGGTGTACGGTATAGGAAGCGGCGGTACTCGAACGAACGTGTGTTTAACGTGCTCGAATGAAAGAGGTGAACGAAGAGAGAGAATGAAAGAGAGAGAGAGAGAAACGAGATGTCGACGCTTGCTTCGTTCAAGTAGTGTAGTACAAAAACATCCTCGATACCGTACTGACGACGCGTCACTGACTCTTAATTCGTGAACGTTTATATTTCGGATTCAACGATATTGCTCGTTTGCGAGAAATAAGAGTCGAGAATCGATCCCAACGAGCGATTCGGAAATTTCTTTCCTCGCTGATTATTTACCGCTCGAAAATAATTTACGAATATATTTCGTATTCTATCCTGTGTGTAGAAACGTACGCGTTTCATACGGATGTCCTTGCGTTCCAACGGTAATATCCCAGGATTACGAATAAAATAGTGTTGTTTGTACGTGCGTGAACAGACTTCCTCCTTCTTCTCCTAAAAAAAAAAACATCTTTGTAAAATAGGTATTACGAGTAAGATTTTTGGGATGAAGCGAAGATATATGGTTGAAAAAATTTTTTCCTTAATAAATAATAAGATCGTAATTTTATAATTATTACCGTATCCGCTGCGTCCGCGAACGAGTTTTGTCTCTGCGCAAAATGAATTCTGTTTCTGTTTTTGAATAAAAAAAAGAGGGGAGCACGTATTAAAAATATTTCGCGTACTTTCTGGGTGGAAAATTTATTTTCATTGCGCATTGCATTCGTAATATCGTAGATTTAATTATTTAAATATGGTTTACATATTTATATATATGTATATATACGTACAGACAAAATGGAGATGAAATTATTTTACTGTCATATTCGACATTTTGAAATATCTGAGATCCAATTCGAAATATTTGTATCCATTAGTCCATAGTCGATGGAAATTACCAAATTCCAATATTACTTAGGAATTTAATACAACATTTCTTTCGTTATAACGCTCGACAACATCACCATTATTATTATTATTATTATTATTATTATTATTATTGTTATTGTTATTATTATTATTCGATCTTTCGACAATAATGCAAAATATAATTCGCGATAAACGATTATTATCTACGCGTTTATCGATTGAAAAGTATACCCCGTCTTAAACTGTCTTTCTTTTTTCTTTCTTTAACCACTTTCGAACAATAATTAATTCGATCAATTAAAACGAATATCAAGAGATTGAAACGCGGCAACAATAAGATTTTTCAACATTCGTTCATTCGTTCTCCTTTTCAATCGGGATGTCGAACATCGACAACCAATGCGAAACGTTCTCGAAGGGGCGGAAGGGGGGGGGTGCTCGACGTTTTTAAACAGTTGCTCGAAAGATTGAATCGCGCAAAGTGGATCGGAATTGTCCCTATGGTTTTTCCTTTTCACGGATTCATTGTCTATTGAAATTCAACCTCTCCCTCCCTCCTCCCCCCTCTCCTTTCAGATATTCACATCGTTGAGTCTTATCCCACGAGTTTAACGGGATATCTCCCTCCTTTTTTTTATTTTATTATACTCGCGAAAAAAAAAAGTAAAACAAGTCGAAGAATATCTTTTCCTTCTCCTCCACTCCAGTTATTTAGATAGGCTTCTTGTTGCGAACGTTGTTCTTCAAACGTGTTGAAAAAGGTGAAAAACGTTGGAACGGGGCGGGAAGGGGGATAGAGATCGATATCGAGGAAAATTTGCGGCAATGTTAAATTCCTGGGATTCCCTCGGCTTCGTAAAATCGAGGTAGGTGGTTTATTGAAAAAAAAAAAAAAAAAAAAAGAAGAGAGAAAAAGAAATTTTTTTTCCTTCGCTTCCATCATTAATGAAAATAATTGCAATTAGAAGCGATTTAATTAAAGAAATCGTGTAACTCGTGTAATTTCTAAGACGAAATGCGATGATTTTTCGATCGTGTATCGCGATATATTCGCATAGCTTCGTACGGATCGATAACAGGACATTTCCCGGCCAGGTATCGCCACGCTCAACCACCGACGCATAATTGGCATATTTACTTCCGAATTCGGTTAGACACAGGTACGGGAGAAATGCAAAATGCTTCCTGCCTCGAGAAATTATCGCGTCCTCCTTGGAAATTTATACGTCCACCGATAGATGGCCGATCGTCATCGATCGAGGGGATTCAATTTTCCCTTCTCCGTTTATGACGTATCCTTTCTTGTTCTTCGTTCTTTCTCTTTTTCCTTTGATCCGAGTACAACATACAACGCTTTGGATTAACGATCATCGAACCTCGGTCCGTGGAACAAAGGCGGGATGCAAATTTTCGGGACGATGTGGATGGAGCGCGCGGTGGCGGAACAATCGATAAGATCCGAGTCGGTAACAATTATCGAGTGGGCCAAGATCAGTTGATCAAAATAGCCGAGCGATTTAGATCGGTCTCAATTAGGCAGAGCCGGAGACAATATATAACCCGGCACGAGTCCCGTTCCTCGCCTCGTTCCTCTCCAATTCGATCAATCTGATTCCGAGAGATTTTAGTCCCGATCAATTAGAGACGAAGCTCGAGGCAAACAATTCGCCTCGCGATTCCCAATACCGGCGACACAACTCTTACGAAACCAATCGTCTCGAGTTTCTTGCCCTCCCCCCACGAAACTAGTAAATTAGAATTTTGCCCCGTTTCGCGCGACGAATTCGAATCTCCTCTCTTCGAAACGACGACCACGACTACGACGCGATGCGATACAGTGTTGCCGAGTCGACGGTGGCCTCCGCCGCTGTTCGCCCCGCGCCGCCCATTGTCTCCACGATGCGTATCCGTGGTACGCTGTTGCACCTGTGCGAGGGGAACGGGCGACGTAATAATGCCCCCAGAGGCGGTCCCTCGGCTTCTATTTATCTTTCGAGCTGGCTACGATAGGCGCGTCGCGTTGTCGGATTATGAGCCGCTCGTCGGTTATCTGAAAGTTTAAAGAGCGGACCGAATGAACGAGTTACGGCGTAATAATGTACGCCCTTTCTTTGTGCGAGCGCGAATACGTTTCGTTGCTAGGGTAGAGGAAAGGGAAAGAAAAAGAGGATACGTTCGTTATAAATAAGGAGAGAGCGCCACTTTTGAAATCGGAAATCAAGTAAAAGAGGTGGAATAACGAGAGAGCGAGAAAATTGGGAAATTATCGTCCGCGGTTGTGAGAAAACTTTCGCTACTGTATATAAAGGAAATAATAACGAATTGAAACGAGTTTCGAGGAGAAAAAAATTTTTACGTTCATACATACGTGGGTGTTGTTAAAACGAGTCGTGTGGTTAATTGAATTATCCATTCTTTTCGTTATTTTATTATATATATATCGTTAAAATGTAGAATTTAATGGCATTGTATATTTATTTCGTATTATTTTTAATTCGGCCAGTTAAAAGCAAGAATCGTGTACGCGCCCGAGAAACGAAAATTAAACAGCACGAGACCAATGATAAAAAATAACGGGGATAATTATTCCGCATGGATCTGGGCTTTTTCTTTGAAACAATGAAACGTGCCGCGGGAAATGATGCAAATTTCTTGCCTAAATACGAATAAACGCAATTCCTCTGCCCCCGTATCGCGCATTTTTCCAAAGATTCTTATTTGTTACGAAACAACGAAATGTCATGTGGGTGAAAGCGCGGACAAACGCAAAAACGAAACATCTGAATTGTGAAAAAACAAAAAGGAAAAAAAATTGATAAATGAACGAAAAAAGGACAAAGTGTGTAAAAAAAAAAATTCCAGTCAGCGAAATATTTCGGTGTTATCGTTAAATATTAGTATAACATTTTTCAAGTCTTTTAGAAAAATTTAAAAACGCGATATTTCTGTTAAAAAATAATAATAAACGAGAGGTGTTTTCTGATAATTTTGATATTTTAAAAGAAAAAATAAATAAATAAATAAAAACTATCCGTGTTTTGCAATTTTTTTTCTTCGCTCAATTTTTAATTCGTATTCGTCCGGGGAAAGGATTCTCTCTCTCTCTCCGTCTCGTTTTGTTTTCCATGTTCATTCCGATCGATCGATTTGTTCGTAATAGACTTCCAATAGCAGCAGCCCAATCGGTCGAGGGTGGGTTCGAGGTTAGGAACCCTGCCGAAGATCAAATTCTATAACTCGTTGCCCGATCCAAACTTCATTTTCTCCGGTATGGAGAAAGCTGGATTTAGTTATCGTCTTTCCTTACATCGTACACAATCCGATATATAGGAAAGGCGATACTCCTCTATCTTTTATTTCCCTCCAAAATTGCCTCGCCTTTTAAACAAAATTGAAAAAAACGCGGTGCTCACATATTTTTTCGAGACGTAAAAAGCTATACCCCAATAAGTTTCCAATAAGTTTTCGAAAGTATACAATACTATGAAAATATATTCGGGAAAAGAAATTCGAATAAAAAAGAAAAAATATCGAAATTTTCGAACACGATTATTCTTCCAAAAAATTGCCTCATTTTTTAAAAAATTAAAAAAATTAAAAAAACGCGATGCTTACATATTTTTTCGAACCAAAATTTCCAAGTTTTTCGAAAATACAATACTAGAATTTAATACCATGGGGAATAAAAAAAGAAAAAGAAAATATCGAAAATATCGATTATTCTTCCAAAATTGCCTCGCCTTTTAAACAAAATTGAAAAAACGCGGCGCTTACATATTTTTTCCTGCCCAAGTTTCCAATAAGTTTTCGAAAACATAATACTAGAACCATTTAACCATGGAAATATGGGGGAAAAAAATTTGAATGAAAAAAAAATTATAATAAGAAATTCGAGTATCTCTCGTCTTACGACAATCCTTACGACAATCCCCGTTACAATTCGCTTATCCTTGTTATACAGAAGAATTGGTATTATAACGCGAGATAACCTGATACAATCGATAGACTTCCTCCTCGACTCCATCTGAACGGAACGCACCTCGTCTGTCTCGTCGAATCAATTATTTTCGCGCGAGGTTTCGGATATCCGAATGGGCAGGAGAGGGGGAAATTCCTGTAAGAAGCAAGACCGTGAATTATACGATAAAAAGAAACGAAAGAGGAGAGAAAGGCAGAGGAAGAGAAGAGGTCGCGATAAAAGCGCATGAAAATAGAATGTCTCACACACGGTTTTCGCGAAAGTGAAGAAGTGACTCGCTCTCTCTCTCTCTCGAAGTTGGAGGTAATAAACGATACCACTCGCGAAAACTTTGATATTCGCGCGCGGTTCACTCGTTACGCGAGCAATGTCTGGAATAAACGAGTAACGGCGCAATAGAATCAACATAATCCGATTATCCCCGCTTTACCGATCGTATCTCCAGATAACGCGATGATACGAGGTATCTGGAACGCTCGTACGTAATCCTGGCAACATCTGCATCCGCCGCTTTCTTTCTTCTCACGACGCGTAATAATAACGTTAACGAGAACGCACGAGGGATCTAAAATGGAAAAATGGTTGGTAAGAAGAATCCTCTTCCTCCTCTTCTCGCGAGAATAGGATAAAACCTTTTTCCAATATCTGATCACTCTATTTTACCAAGGTGAATATTCGAGAATATTCGAGTTTTCTTTTTTCTTCTTTTGGAAATTTTGAGGTGAAAGCTTCTAACCGCGCTCGAATCACGCGCCAACTCGAAGACGAGCGACGTTCGAAGTTC